CCAAAAGCGGCTCCTGATGCCCTGCAAATTGGTGTTTTCTCTAAATATTGTGTGCCCATTTTCTATCAAACGTTTCAAGTGCAGTCAGTTTGCTTTGTGGGGACCATCTCTCCTGTGCGTATCCGAATTTATGCATACGTGTTTATATACTTTCCTCGTTAACCGACCACTTACTTTTAGGGAGTGTCCTGCTAAAGCCAAGTCGACCCCATGTGGGATGCAATTTTTTGTTTGAAGCCCCACCCTGGCTTCTGTCGGGGGTCCTGAATATAGCGGAGAATAGATATGGCTTAACGGCTGAAAGGGGTATCTGTGACCTCTCCACGGGTGATCCTCATCCGCATGGTGGCACTTTGTGTCACCCGGTGTTTATCCTTGTGTAATGTCCTGATGGGGTACCACTACACCTGCTTAAGCCTTGCAGCCACGGAAAGACTAACACACTTAAAGTAGGTCACCACACTTGCTCGCCATTGTTCCTTTGATAACGCAAGTCTGCGCGGTAAACATGATCATTCTGTGAAACAATGTGCTGCGTGTCATATAAATATAATAATATGTTTGAAATAAAAAGCACTGCACGAGGGTCTGATGGGGTCAGGTATTGGCAATACGAAGGCACTACCCGGTGGTCTGCTGGGGTCAGGTATTTGCCATATGAAGGCATTGAGCCATGTAGGTCTCAGGTAGATGACCGACTGCTTTGACTATAGCATTAAGACAGCATCAATACCCCAGGATTTGGTGCACAGCTATCTAAACCCACTTCCAAAACCAGGCAAAGATCATACAAAGCTCAGTGGCTTCAGAATCATCACCTTACACATTATATTTGGGAAAGTCTAAAAGAAGATAGTCACTGTCAAGCTGCAACATCTTTAGAAAGAGATAAGCTTCTTCCAAGAGGTCTGGGGAGTTACTGGCCTGGAAAAGATACCTGGTCAAATGCAGACACTTTTGTCTTTGATGTTTTTGAAGGGCTCTAGAACAAACAGGAAACGTTTTATCTCGAGGATACGAATAGTAAATAGAGTTAGGAATGATGTTTTGATGGCCGCACTGGTGGAGAAGGGGGTCAGTCCCTGGTTGATCAATTGGATTGAAGCTGTCCTGTTTTCGCGTCTGGCTGCTCTTCGACTGAGCTCATGGACCTCAGAACCATGCAAAGTAGCCCTGGGACTGCCACATGGATCCGTCATCTCGCCTGTGCTCTTTAACGTTTATATGCACAAGACTGCAAGTCTATTGGCCCAAGGAAAAGCAAGGATGCTGACATTTGCAGATGATATACTCGCACATAGACAGGGAAGAGAGAGGGAACAAATAGTAGACAAAGTGACTGACTGGTGTACAGAAATAACTGCTGTCGTCCATTCAGAAAAG